AGGATGAGAGCAAAGTCATCTAAGATAAGAAGACATCTATGAGGGTAAGTCTTCCAATCGTAAGATTGCAATTTCTTCGAAATGTATTCTATCTCTTTCTGTTTGTTTCTGAAGTGTTTCTTCTCTAATATTCTCTGCATTTCCTCATTTGGGTCTTTAAACTTCGAATTTATATACTCATTTATAGCATTGTACTTCAAAACTCTTCTTTGGTACTTCTTTATCCAATCTAACAACTCAGAGTCTTTTATACATACTAACTTAGACTTCTTTATAATATCTTTGAACGAATTGACGGTTTGGTCAAATTGACCAGAAGTACTACAAATAACAACTAACTCATAGAATGGGTTCTTCTCATCTAGTTCTTGTTGTTGTGCAGCCATTTTAAGATAAGTGAAAGTCTTACCCGACCCAGGTGGTGCAATTAGACCTGTTATACCATTCTGAGCAAATAAGAACTTGTCATGTATGGTTTTATCTGAGCATTTTCTAACTTCCTCTTGTTCTTGTTTAAAACATTCTCAAATTTTTGTCAATGTCAGCAAACTTTTTTTCTAACATATTTTTAGAAAAATTAAAATTTTTATCTTTTAGAAAATGTCTAGCGATTTCGCTATCTATATTCGAGACAAGCTTTTCGACAGCAAAACATCTGTCGACCATAAAATCTTACATAGTGTAAACAAGAAAGGTGAATTTGTTCTAAAGTTCTGTTTCTGGGAATATGACAAGAACCATAAAACATTAAGCAGAGAAGTCTTAAAATTTGTCAATGACAGACTTGTTGACAGAGATGACGCCCTTGGAAAGATGAAGTCCAACAAAAGTTCTTAGAATGCAAAGAAGACACATGCGCTGTTCTTGAAGATGAAATAGAAAACAGAATAGAAGAGCTATTAAAGGACAAAGAACTTTTACAAAATATGGTTCTGAGAATTTGACATAACTCCACCAGAAAAGAAGAAGAAGAGAAAAGAAAGAAAAGAAAGTAGAAGAAGAGAAGAAAGAACCTGAACCAGAGAAAAGAAATTTGACATGTAAAAATAAAATTTTATTTTTAGAACATTTCTGGGTCAATGTCAATGTTCTCTTCCTCTTTAGGAGCAAACACTGGCTTAGACTCTAAAATCTTTTTACCCAATTTACCTTGAACTTCAACTCTTAGACTCATAATATTCATAGTCGTCTGCTTTCTTTGGTTCATAAGGTATAACAAGTTTGTATGCTTTGCCTTCTTCGAGTTTGAGAACCTTCTGTCAAAATTTTCTTTGACTAACAAACCTTCTATGTCTAAGTCTTCAAATTTCGCACCATTTTTAGTCACAATAGCAAACTTAACTGGTTCGATGTTCCAAACTTTGCTGAATGAAGACTTTTCAAAATGGTAGAAGTAAACATTCAAATATGTGAATGGGTCTAGTTCTTCTTTAAGTCCTGACATGTACTTGTTTACTGAGATGAATTTGTCATCTTTTCTATCGGATAAAAAAATATTTTTTTTAAAATTTACTCAGAAAAATTTTTCTTTGTATATACACCATTCTGAACATCTAAAAGACTTTTGACATTTGCCAAGAATGTTCGTTTAGACGCTGTCATATAACCATATTCTTGACAATATTGTTTATACGAATCGTACAATGACCTTTCATCTAAACACTCAAAGTCAGTTTCATCTATGAACAGTTCATATACACTCTTGTTTGCTTCTAACAATGTTTGTCTCTCTTCGGTATGTGGAATTTGTCTTGGATTGAACTTGAAATATCTAATGTCATAAATATGAGAACAAGTGGTTGTAAAAGTCAGATGTCAAAGTTTCTGCTAAGTCGTCAAAATATTCTGTATCTTGCATATGAGAATCTGACGTTCTGACAACTACATATCTTCTGTCAGAACTTTCTAACTTCATCGGAACAGCATTGTTTGAAACCATAATGAATTTGCAACATTTTCACAAACTCTTTGGTCTTTATATTTTCTTTCAACAACTCCAACTTTGTCTGTTATAAGACTCTTCAAAGCATCTGAGTTAAAACTTTTGTTGTATCTATACTTTGAAGTTCGTTACATACTATAAGTTTCATATTCTCTATTGAGAGTTAAATTTACCGCAGATGTTTTCTAAGTTTGTCATATTCGGTTCGAATACCTCTAACAGTTTGCACAAATATCTGTAAGAAAGTGTTCTTACCAGTTCCTTGTTTTCCAATTATAATGAGAGCAGTTTCATTTTTAGCACTTGGATGTTGTAAGATGTTTGCAAACCAACATAAGATATACTCATAGACTCTTTCGTTTCCATTGCATATAATTTCTTTGACATGGTCTAACCAAGCTTCTATAATATTTTCTTTCCATTCTACTTGTTCGTATTTATATCCAGTGAAGATAGAATAGAAGTTTGGAGAAGGTGTATAAACTTTATACCTCGAACTGAAAAATCTTCAACTTTGACAATAAGATATCCCAAGCATCTAACATCTTCATGCCAACTTGTACGACTTTTATTTTCTTAAGTTTCTGTCTACATTCTTGTTCTGAAACTATTGTTGCTCTTGGTTTGTTAAAGACAACATCCCATTCTTTCATGACATAACATTCTGGGGCAGAGTCGACATAAATGACTAAACGTTTCAAATTCTCGACTGCTTTGTTATAGTCTCGAAATGGACACATATTTCTGAATGCTTGGAAGTCATAAAAATCTGAAACATCTATTCTGTACATTTTTATAAAAATAAAAAAAAATATTTTTTTATTCTTGACTTTGTTGTTGCATTTGTTGCATTTGTTGTTCTTGAGCTATTTGTTGTTGAAGTTGTTCTTGTAATACAATACTTTCACCAGTTGCATCTTCCAATTCGAAACTTTCTGCCGTCATTGACAAATACATAGGACATAAAAGTTTTACAGGAACAAAGTTTGCGTCAACTAATTAACGTTATGTTTGCTAAAGTGTTTGAGTTCACTAAGTTGAAAACTCTGCATTCGAATGAACAATAGGCAAACCAGCAGAGAAAGTGTTGTTTATACGCATAAGTATCTTTTGGTCATAGTAGTTTCTGTCGACATTCGAATAGCACTTTGAACCTAAGTTTGAAACAATATATAAAATAGGTGTACTTAAAGTCAATGGAACAGACATTCCTTGTATGACACCTTTTCCTGTTATAGGAAACTGTTGGTAGTAAAAACCAGATATAAGTTTTGTATTATAGCTCATATGTTTATAGTAAACTCAGTCGGACATCCAAACATAATGAAACCTGCTCTAGTTGCAGCACATGTTACATCGTCCTTAAAGTATTAAATAAGTCAACAAAACCTGTTGGTGGTATATCTGAGTAAGTATCTTCAAAGGAGTATTTTTTACCATTCACAACAATAAAGTCTTCTGGTGTCAAAAGAGCAAAACAGGCTTTAGTCGTCATTGTGTTTAAGGTTAGTTTACAATATCGTCCTTGAGGACTTTGTAAGTTTGTTGTTATAGAATTATATGACTCAGGGTTTTTAGTCGTAATAGTATAAACCATTATGTCTTCTGCCATTTACTTAGCAAATAAATTTTAATGAAATGTTGTGGTCGTCAAATATTTTTATGACGTCTGGGAAACTATATTTTAAGTTCAACGTTTCACCTCCTTTCATAACGTATATCTTGTCAATGACATTATATGAAACACCACAGCAACTAATGTCGGGTTCTATTTCTTTGATGTTTATATCGTCTGCCTCTGTCAAAAGTTTCAATAGTTCTTTCAAAACTTCATGAGGTGCAATGACATATGAGTTCACTTTTACAGGGTTGTGTTCGACCAAGTTTAACATTATACCTAAAGCTTGACAAATCTTCTCCTGAGTTTGAAGTTTGTCTTTCAGTTGTTGGTAGTCGTTTCGAATATCTGCAACAGAACTTAAGTCTCTGCTAACTTCAGGATATGTTGGTTGTTCTTTTACAGGAACAATTGTTATACCATCTTCGTCTTCGTATGGTTTCCCCACTTCAACATCTCTTCTTTGACATTGACAACAACACTTTGACTGTTTGTTTGAGTTGGTGAATTTAACTTCACATCTGCCACCGCCATTAAACCTTTTGAAACACTTACGCTTCTATTTTTCGGAAATGACATTTTACTTAGAATAAAAAGATGGACGTATTTGAGTATCTCTTCGAATTGAAGCAGAACAAAGTTTACACACACAAACAATACAAATACATTGACAGAATAGTTCTTTACACAAACAATGGAAAATGTTATAGAATAGCAGTCTTTGCTGAACCAAAATATTTTCATAAAGCAAAGAAAGTTGGTATAACTGAAATGTGTGAAAGTTCTTGAAGCAGACAAAAATATAACAAAACTTACAGATATTTCTAAAGGTAAGTTTATAATACAATATTATGTCAAAACTGGCGTACTGTCAATATTTGACGGAGAGAAGTCAGTTCAAGAACAACTTACTGACCTGCTGCCAAAATCTGCTCGATGGAAGCTGTCGTTATGCCAATCTGAGGAGCCCCAGCAGGTTTCATCGAACGAATCTTCAAAAGAGCATCTTCCGTGAAAAGTGCTATTGGTTTTGTAAACTTCTTTGCTCTCAATTCATCTGGACCGTCTCTGTCACCAGTATATTGTATTTGTACAGTACCAACAGTTGAAATACCACCCATAAAGTCTTCTGAGTCAGCAAATGGAATGCCAAGCCAAAAGTTTGAACGGTCTCCATTTGTATATTGAGTTTTTTGACCTCCTGTATGAGTCCATACTTTCACATATGGCATAATAGAACTTTGCATTTCAGGGTTAATGGTTGTTGTGAAGTTGTTGTTAAAGTTCATAGCATCTAATGTCAAGTTGTATGACCTCATATCCTCAACTGTAGAATATTCTTCTCTTGGATAATATTTGCCATCTATGTTTATATGATATTTAATACCGGGGTTGTAGAAACAAGAATAGTCATTTATAGTTCGTCTGAACAGTACAAACATAGTATCTGCGTGTTTCATTGCAGTTGTTAAAGCAATATCTGTTCTTGCACCTGCGGTTCCTGGATTTTGGTTTCCAACTTCACCTGCAAAGTCTTTGACAGATATTTGGTGTATAGGGAACATAAGTGGAACTGCAATATATTTGGCAGCTAAAGCATTTGAAATATCTGGGTCCAACATATAGACTGCAAGTCTGCTTTCTATTCTCTTGCATTCAAACTGTTTGCATGTGAACTTAACTGGGTCCCAAGCAGTTCCAGCAGCATTGAAATAATACTTTACTTCAGTGTTGAGGTTTGAGAAACCAAAGTCTAAGTCAACTTTGTCTTTGCAAAATTCGGCGAATGACGTTTGATTTGCTCCCTTTACGTCTGTAAGAGTGAATGGGTCTTGCGTTGGTGCAATGACTAAGTTATTTTTGCTTGGAGTAAGTTCAATAGAAATTTTTCCTGCCCAGTTTGGCAAGTATCTTAAAAACCTGAAGATGAGGAAAGATGACAAAGGAACTCTAAGTTTCAGTTTTACTTTAGTGACAGCATTTCCATCTGAACCAGAAAGGTTAACATAAACTCCTGGAACGTTAGGGTCAAGTCTTCTTATTTTCTCAATAGTTGCATACTGGTCTGTTTGTTCTCTAGCTTGTGGTTGTACTGAGTTTCTTAAAGCGAACCATTCATAGTTTGCCCATGTTACTGTTTGAACTAAGTCAGAGTTAGAATATATCTTATATCCCATGAAAACTTCTGGAGCATATTGGTATCCGACATAGAAAATACCATTGCAACCTTTCTTACCTCTCAAGTCAGCAGAAGGTTTTATTTCAATGTCTTGTTCCACGTATAAGAATGAGTTGTCAATAGAAATAATGTGAAACCTGTCGCAAGCAATATCTACTGTTGTTGAAGAACCTTCTCCAAACTCACCTACGTTTCCATAAGAAACAGCAGTTGTATATTCGTAAGTTCCAGGAACTATTTCTGACCTTCTAATGGCATTGTCGCATTCGTTATACCATTCGGAAACATTTCCATTCATGGCATCCAAAACTGTTGGCGTTATATTCTGAGCGGCGTACATTTCATATGGGTAAAAATATAGAATAGTTGAATTTATGTGTCATAATAGAACCCACGTGGACCAAGCTTTACTTTCTTCCTGGCTGAGTTTTTAACTCTTCTTTTTCCTTCATTGCCACTACTTTCACTAGATGAAGTTACTTCTTCACTACTTTCACTTTGTTCTACTCTTCTCTTCTTTGGTGTCGCTTTTGGTAACATGCCCTCTGCTTTAAGTTGTTGCATCTTTGCCTCATGTTCACCTAGTATGTTGTAAATTTCCCATGTCCTTTTTGCCTTTGGGCTCTGGTCGCCCATCTCAGGTAACCTATATCCTAGAAAGATTTTGTCATAGTTTGTATTTGAGTCTTCGCGTATTGTTTGCATGACTCTTTCCTGAGTTTCCGGTTCAAGCTCTTCAAACAGAGCTTGTCCATATGGAATAAGCTCGTTTCCAAATATATGTTTTTGTAGCCATTCTGGTTTTCTTTCCATGTTACCAACAATATCTTTTGTGAATGGGAAAGCTTTTACCCAATCTTTCAGTCTTGGGTCATTTATTTCTGTAGTTGGTTTTATTTTGTCAAGGAACATGTTTTTCAATACTAACATTTCATTTGGTACTGTCCATTTGAGTTTTCTTAAATATTCATCCCTTCTCGGTTCATTGTCTGCAAAGTAAGTTTTTATGACATTTTGTAAACTTTCGTTTGCAAGGTCATGTACAATAGGTTCTCTTCCTTCTCTCTCCCTAACTCTCTTTCTAAACTCTTCACCAAATATACCATCTCTATGGTTCTGTGTAGTTCTTTGAGATAAATGTTCTAGAACGTCAGGTGTTATATTTCCATCAGCCATGTTCATTTCATACTGGTTCAAAATATCTGCATCTTTCATATCTTTCAATGGCATTAAAGCCGCGCTGAAAATACCAGCTAAATCTGGTTCACCATTCACTTCCATTGCGTCTACAACTTCTTGGAATTGTGGTTGTAAGTTTATGAACCACCTATCCGGTTAGCTTTATGACCCCATCTCATTGTAGTTCCATAGTCTGCAGAAACAAAAGTAGGTTTGTTTCCATATTGGTTAGGTTCTGAATGAACTTTAAACAATGTTTCATTTCTATATGTTTTGTTGAAATTTAACCTTTTATTTTCACCGAGTTCATCCAAAGATTGAACGTTATATGCTCGTAAGTAAAAAGGATTGTTGTATTTGTGTACATTTTCTTTCAGTTCTTCCATTCTATGCTGAATATTTTCATCTGATGTTGGAGTCTTTTGTATGTCGGCAAACATTTTTCGATATTCTTCTACATGTCAGCCGAATTTTTCTTAGACTCTTGGAAAGATTCCATATTCTCCTCATACTCTTGTTGAGGGTCAAGATTTTTCGGCTGTTCCAAATCTTCATCTAGTTCTGTGAAGTTAGTTTCCAAAGGAGGGACTTGTTCGTTTCCTTCAGGCTCTTCTAGCTGTTGTTGCTGAACTATTTCTTCCATGTCTGGTTGTATCTGAACTTCTTCCTGTGGAGTTTCTTGTACCTCATCTGCTGGCATTTCATATATTCCGAGACCGTTTTTAACAAGTTCCCTATCTAAGTCATCCGGACTCATAAACCTTTCTTCTTTCGTTCCGTCTCTATTTTTTACGCGTTTCATGACGGGAGTTGAATTGTCATTTAGCTCTGACACCAAATATCTCGGAGTAAATTCGTTCATGTCATTTGGATGATATGCTATTAAATCATATCCCTTAGCGAGCTTGTATTTTCCAGGTTTGAAATTATATCCCATTTGGTGCTGAGCCATAAAGCTAAATAGGTTCGGGTCAGTATTTCCTTCCTTGAACTTTCTAATAGCTTCTTTATATCTGTCACTAAAGTCAAGAGTAGCTGGGTAACCATAGTCTTCTTTAAGCATTTTTAAGAAATCTTGGTTTCCTTGTTCTCTACTTCTTTTATGTCCTTGCTCTGTTTGTGGTTGTTGTTGTGCAGTGTTTTGAACTGTTGGTTGTGGTGCAGTGTTTTGAACTGTTGGTTGTGGTGCAGTGTTTTGAACTGTTGGTTGCTGTGCTGGTTGTGGTTGTGCTGGATTTTGAACTGTTGGTTGTTGTGTTGGTTTTGGTGCATGCCTGTGTCTGTGTCCATGTGACGATGTAAATGTTTTAGGTAGTCCTGGTGCAGGTGCTTCTCTTGGAGGGTTTGGTGGTATATAAGTTCCACTAGCTAGTATATAAGTTCCACCAGCTGGTATATAAGTTCCACCAGCTGGCACATATGTTCCATCTGCAGCATATGTCCTACCTGACTTTTCGTTTTTAAGAAAGCATTTACTAGGTCTGTTTTGGTCTGTTGTAACTCTTTTTCTTGACTTTCCACAACAGTTGCTCTAACGGCGTCATAGGCACTTTGAACTGCCTGTCTCGTTGCTGCATCTGTTATTTTCGTCATATTTTGTGCTACTTCTTTAACTCTTTGTCGAAACCTTCAGACTTCAGTTTCTTTCCAGATGAGAAGTCGTTCACTTGTTTCACCTTACTATGAAGAGCTTCGAAGGCGTTCTTAAAGTCAGCATTGTTAAAGCTTCATTTGAACTGTCTTCATCCGCTTGTATTTTTGTCCTTATTGACCCTATAAGCTGGGCTGCTTTAGCGTTGGCTTGGGCATCTAACCAGTCATGGTTAGCTTTTATATATTCTGCGCTTTTCATTGCCTTTTGCATGGCTGCGTCGTTATTTTTACTTTCTTGTGCTAAGTTTTCATACTGTACGGTTTGGTTTTGCAACTGTAAAAGTTTTTCTGCCTTTACATTTGCTTCAACTTCTTTTTTATACTCATCGCTATCCATATATGTCTTCAGGGCTTTTTGTTTTATCTCTTCATCTTTCAGTACTTTATATTGAGTAGTATGGTTTTTCAAATTTAAACATCTTGTTCCATTTTTGCTACTTCTGCTGCTTTTTCTGACACTTTTTTCGCATATTCCTCTGTACTTAGTTCTTTCAGTTGTTCTTCTTTCTTCTTTTTCTCTACGTTTAACTCATTGAGTTTCTTTGTGTGTCTGTCATATTCTAGTTTCTTTTCGTTTTCACTTATTTGTTTCTGTATGTCTATGTTTGACTTTTTGACATCTGTTATTTGATTTTTGAGTGAACTCAAATTCATTTGACTTTGAGGGTTATAGCTGTTCCGTCTGCAGCTCCACCATAGCCTGCCATTTTCGCTAAAAGTGCCGCTCTTAAACCTCCACTCTGTGCACCAATAACTCGGTTTAAAAGCATAGGGTTGCTTGACATTTGTTGCAACATAGTGGGGTCATTCATCATTTGTTGTTGCAACTGTTGTTGTGGTGTCAGTTTTACTCTTGGATGTTTCAATGCTCCTTCCTCTTACGTATATTCTTACGTAGCTTACGTGGCATTTTAAGTGAAGTAAAAAAGCGGTTTTTGACAGATGTTTATATGACACTTTTTGTTCAGCACAAAAAACTACTCGGTCAAAGTGTTGTCAGTTTTGTAAAATAACCGTCCTATCTCATTCTATAATGGAGAAAAGGCTTCTCAAAGTACTTCCTTGGAACGCCTGTAACTTTTCCTGTAGCGACGATAGACCCTTACTTGTCCGGACAAAGTTATACTATTTTGAGTGCTCTACAAAAAAAGTCAACGGCGACGACTCTCAAAAACCGTTGTGTAAAAAGTTTTACCGTTGGACAAAAAAGTATATATAGAAAACAAAAAACGTTTATAGTTCATTCAATATTTGAGATGGAACGGTTTGCCAACGGTAACTATTAAATAAAATAAAAAAATAGAGGGGGTCTCCGTTGACGAAAACGGTTTATTTTAAACTTTTCTATGAGTAGTCCGAAAAAAACAGTTTATTTTTCATAATGGCATTCGCTAGCGTGTTCGCTCCAAATTCACCTGAAGAAATTGCTTGCAAACTTTCAGCACCCACAGGTTTAGAGCCTCAATATCAAACTGCAGCATCTACACATTCTCCAAGCAGAACAGACAATTCAAATTCAAATTTGTCCTGCAATTCGCTCAATCCAAAGCCACTTTCACTACCAAAAACAATACCAAACGAGCTCCGTATTACAAAGAACCACAGCAACGCTGAACTACGCAAAATACTACTCAGATTGTCTGAAGAATACTTCAATTCAAAGCCAGAAGAAAGAGTTGCTGCAACTTTTAACAAAGAATATTGTGAACAACTCAACAAAGTTCTTGCAGACTTTACCAAACTACAAAAAGAAACACCTGACCCATTCGAATTAGGTGACACAATTGTCAACTATTTTCCAACAATAACAAAGATAATGGTTGACAGAACTATATGTCAGCTTATTGAAAGTCTTCCACCCAAAGCTGCAAAAAAAGTCGAACAGTTTTGGGTCGAATTCAAATTAAAGAGTTACGGATATCAGGATGACGAAGAAGAACGTGAGTACGGACAAGAAACAGCAAAATGGCAATGTCTTAGCTCACTCAACCCCAAGTTCAAACCATTATTTTACTCAGACAACAACACAATTCAAGTACGCAAAATTGCTATTCATTTCGTTAACCAAGCAGAAGACATTGAAGAAGGAGACTCTATCTCAGTTTATGTTTGCTACTGCAAGTTTTTCAAGGACGAATTTGGAGGACCAATTCTCATGCATGTCTTCAAGCCACGTCAGCAACTCTACGTTGAAACTGAAATAACACTCATGCATGGAATGTATCTCAAGTTTGAAAGCCAATTGGAAAACACATACAACATTTGGCTTTCATACATTCAGTTCGATACACCAGATGACTTTGATGTTGAAGAAGAAGACTCTACTCAAGAAGATGAACCACAAGACTCACCTGATGATGACGAATTTGTACCCGAAGAAGAAGAATATCATTCAAGAACACCATCAGAAGACGACCAACAAATGGCAGATGCAATGGACAGTCAAGTTCCATGAAACTAAACATCTAATTTTACCTCAATTCCAACTTTTTTTAAACATCTTCGGGGCTAGAAGGGGCGCAGCCCCTGGAAGCCCCTCATACCTGACCTTGTATATATCTAATGAAGATTATATATGTAGAAGATAAGTACCTTAATATGTACGTAAAAATTAATGAAATTTATTTTGAATGTAGAACCGAGCAATTTTCAAATTTTGTGCTTTTTTTGAATTTTCTCGATACCAGATAAGTTGTGTTGGCTAAATAATATATGGATGCAATGTGTCTTATAGATGAATATATGCACAAAGTTTAAGAGGCCATTTTCTTTCGGAAACCGAGATTTGTGAATTTTTTCAAATTTTGTGCTTTTTTGAATTTTCTCGATACCAGATAAGTTGTGTTGGCTAAATAATATATGGATGCAATGTGTCTTATAGATGAATATATGCACAAAGTTTAAGAGGCCATTTTCTTTCGGAAACCGAGATTTGTGAATTTTTTCAAATTTTGTGCTTTTTTTGAATTTTCTCGATACCAGATAAGTTGTGTTGGCTAAATAATATATGGATGCAATGTGTCTTATAGATGAATATATGCACAAAGTTTAAGAGGCCATTTTCTTTCGGAAACCGAGATTTGTGAATTTTTTCAAATTTTGTGCTTTTTTTGAATTTTCTCGATACCAGATAAGTTGTGTTGGCTAAATAATATATGGATGCAATGTGTCTTATAGATGAATATATGCACAAAGTTTAAGAGGCCATTTTCTTTCAGAAACCGAGATTTGTGAATTTTTTCAAATTTTGTGCTTTTTTTGATATTGAAATTTCATTTCATTTTTTCGATGCATATCGATGCACCATGCGAACTTAAAGAAAGGCTATCTTATATAGATGCTATGAAAGCTGTCATTGATAACGAATGCCATGCAGGTTGTCCATATCAATTAAAAAAAAATCCAAATTTAGGGGGAACAAAATTAAAATTCAGGTGCAGTGCAGATAAATGTGAAGCATGTATCTCATTTCTAAAGGATGATGAAGAATATATCCTAACAGAATATAATGGAACACATAATCACAATCAAATCAAAGATGAGACAAAGAAATACCACACATTATCACAATGCTATCGTCGGGTACTTATTAATTTTATAAAACAGGGGGTGATCCGAAAATGGCTCAAATTGAATGCGACAAAAAACTTGATCTGGATGATCCACTTAACAGGTCATCTTTTTTGAATGCATCTTCAGTTAGTATCCCTATCTTGGGTACGGCGGCACTGCGTTCCACCTTACCCATGATAACGGTTTGACACTTTACAAAACTGCTAACATATATTTTACAACACAAACGACAACACTAACTTAACCTTAAATATTTACAAAGCCACCAACCACTTCACCTCACTAACGACTTCGCTAACGACTTCACTACTGTAAAAAATAAACGTTCTCACTAACGTTCACACTAACGTTCTCACTTACAAAAGTATTGCAACTCCTCCCATTGCTGTGCTTCATATAACAGCTCATAATCTTCTGACTCACTTTCTTCTTCATATAGGTCAAAGTCACTGTCAAAATAAATGTTAGTAAGTTTTGACAAAGCTAATGAAACACGCTTACCGTTTGTATCGTATGCTTGTATAAACTTTCCATTATGCTTGTAGTCATAAACGCTCAAACTAACTTTACCTTTTCTCCCTCGTATCTGATAGAATGTATTTTCACGAGGAACGAAGAACAAATTCTTGAACTCATGACCATTGTAGTTTGTTATCTCAATAGTTTTCGTCATTACATCCAAATAAAAATTTTCAGTAAAAATAAAACTAATGAAATATTTTATTCCTCACTGTCGTCTGCTTTCTCCAACTCTTCTAGCTTCTTCTTAAGTTCAGCAATGCTGTCCTCATGAAGTTTAATCTTTCTCAAAATTCCTTCTTTATCTAATGGTTGCTTTATCTTTCTAAACTGAACTCTACCATCCTTCATAGTATGAATGTAAAAACCTTCTGGAATAGTTCCTGATTTAATGTATTCTACCAAGAACTTTTGTTTCATTGCTTCAGTGACTTTAGTCGTCATTTTACTCTAAATAAAATGTTCAAATAAAATAAAACTAACGTTATTTTTTTCAGTAAGGAAACGCAGGAGTTTTACGATTTATTTGAGGAGTAGGTTCTGGTTTAAATGTTCGAGTCGGTTTAGGAGTTGACTTTTGAACAGGAGTTTGTACTTCCATAGGTTCAGGAGTCATTGAAGGTTTTGCTTGTGAAGGCGTTGGTTTTGGCGAAGGTGTCGGAGTTTGTTTAACTTCAGCTACTTCAGTATTATTTACAACAATTGCTTTATTTCTTTTCAACATCATAACTGCTCCTGCTGTAGCTAGCAAACCTAGTGGGAGACCATATCTTATATAAGGACTTGACCAAATGCTATTTTTGACAGGAGCTGGTGGAACACCTAACCTTGGTGAGACTGCTCTTTGCCATTGTGCAGCTCGTAAGAAATATTCAATAGGTGCTCCATAATCGTTTTGTAAAGTTTGTTTCAGAGATGGTGAAGGTTCACGAGAGCTTGATGAAGAACTCATTTATAAGCTTTAAAATAAACGTTCATCCTTTATTCCTCACTGTCGTCCGCAGCTAAGTTATAGTCATCCAATCTTATTATTGGGATTCCATTAGCACGCACCTGAATGGCAAAGCAACAATCCCTCATAAATCCAATAAGTGGCTTTGGTATGTTTTCAGTTGCTAGTTCAATAGGTCCTTTAACAGACAATTTGTATGTTATTGGAGCAGTAGATGTTTGACCTTGCTGGAAGCAAAAGTCCACTTCTGTTGGAAAACCACATAAGAAATGTGTGTTGTCATAGCTATCCCATTTATGTTCCACACTACCATCATCCACCAATGACCTCATAACATCTTCATTAAATCCTATCATATCATTGTTTGTATTGCAAGCGTTCGCAACCATTTCATAAAATACAGGTCCATATGATTTTTCGGGTTCTGCAGGCATATTTCCATAAGCTCCCATGGAAAGCTGAAGATATTTAAACTTAGGGTTCTCAAAATTAACATAATAGTTGTCTTTCTTTCTAAATAGTGCCCAAATACTTTTAACATTAATAGGCGTATAAGCTGCTGTAAATGTTGCACTTGAACTATCTGTATTCTTTGAGAATGAACCGTCCATAGGAATCCAATCCATAACTTTAACAGGAAAACATAAAGCCTCGTTTGTATAATGTTCTACAAGTTCTGTATAAATGTTAGGGTCTAAAGAGAATGACTTTGGATGAATGAAACATTCATTAAAATCCATCTTTGTTCGAAATAGTTGCTGGGTTACAGTTGTAATAGTAACTGTTCCACTAGCTTCTATTGCCTTCGTTATCATAGTGAATGGTTCATTCCATGGAACAAATTTATTTGTCGGTGGATTTGAATCTGAAGCAAATGCAACTTTAAGAGTTGGATTGAAAGCAATGATATCATTTACAGATATAGATGTGCATTGTAATGCGTCGCTACTGAACTTTACTTTAAGCTGAATGTTTCCTGCAAAAGCTGGAATAAATCGAATAGCTTCTAATGGAAGGAATCTTCTAACAGGAATTCTTAAACGAAGCTTAAAATCAAATGACTTTCCTGCTGTAATTGGACCACTAACAATTTGTCCTGTTCTGCATGTTCCCGAATGACTCCATACATCTTCATGTCGAGTCTTTGAGAAAACATCTACTTTCTTTATTTGTTCGGTAGTTTGTGAGTTTGAAGTTATATATGCTTCTTCTCTTGCGTTGTCTTGAGAATATACGATACGACCATTTGCAAGGATTTGATATCCAGCAACTGCATAGAAATCGTCATCGAAACCAATCCAAAATCCTGGTGGGTTTGTTTTATTGGAACCTGAACCAATTTCTTTATCTACAATAAATTGACCTTCCATTTTATACGTAATGAATGTATTGTAAAGGTCCAACATATTTTCACCAGGAGGTGAGAGATTGAATGTTACCCATGTGTTATCTTTAGCAGTTCCAAGTTGTGATGGAATCTTTGCGTCAGAATATTTTCTATTAGTGTCACCAATTTGAACTGCATTGTCTATGATATCGAAATATGAGCGAATCTGATGAATATGCTCTGCTGGAGTAAATTCGTTTAGCTGTTCGTTCTGCATGTATTTACTTCAGATAAAAATATCTATTTACTTCATTATTCTCACTCTTCTTCTTGGCATTCGTGGTGGAAGTTGTTTCTTGACATTTTCAATGAACTGTACATTCTCTTTTGTCTCAACTTCTTTCACTGGTGGGTCAGGGTTCTTTGACTCGGTTTGCTTTTCAATGAAATTCACGAACTTTGCAATAAGCTCTTGGTTCGTTATTGAAAGAACATCTGGCTTCTTTTCTTCTGGTTCTATTGACTTTTCAGTTTGAATAGAAGGTTTTATATGGACTTCACCCTTGCCATGCACCTTAATGTTGTCGCTCTCTGTATTCGCTAATGGAACCTTTCTTTTTCTTACATATATTTTACCATCTTTACTCTGACTTACGTAATAGAAAGGATGTTGTATTCCTCTGGCGTCATTTAATATAATAGACTCTCGCTCTGATTTTGACAAGCTCATTTTACATCGGTTAAAGTTTTAATTTTGTTTTTTATCTGCAGTCAAATGACTCAGACAAGCCCTACGGACAAGACCCAAGGGGTCATAGATGTTGAAGCATTGAAGAAAGAAATTCGTGAGCAAATTTTATCCGAGCTGAAGGAACAAAAACAAGAACAAAAGCCAGAGAGACCAAAGAGAAAACTTAGTGAAAAACAACTTGCTGCATTAGCTGCTGGAAGACAAAAGAACCCACGTTTGCTGGCGAAGAAAGCTAGAGAAGAAGCTGAAGCAAAAGCTAAAGAAGCTGAAGCAAAGAAAGAGTAAATGTGTTATTTTTATCGGAACTAAATGTATAGACAAATACCTTTATCTGTTGCGTTCAGTAGTGAAAACCCTGACGTCAAAATAAAGGGGAACAGAGTAACGTTTAAGTTTCCAACAGACTGGATTGTGAACATAAATGAAGAGAAGTACATTGGCATAACAAATATGTATATAACACGTGCTTTCAGAAAGGTTGACTTTATACTTCAAGTCGAGATAGAAAATGACGAACAGTCTTTAAGCGCCCAAAACATTCACATATACAAATACTTTAAAGACGATACAACATTGCAACAATGTATGATTTCATTTAATGAGATGTTCGAGAAAAAGTTCAACATTGAAGTACAAACTTTACAGCCTTTACGTGAGTTTCTTGCACAACTGAAAGAAGAAGGTAGTCAGCCACAACTTATAGACTTTCATTATGAATTTAATGAAAATGAAGATGGAACTCATGACTGTCAATTTGTTGTATTCTCACCATTCAATGAAGTCGCTAAAGAAAAGAAAATCCATTACGTATAAGGTTTCAAATCTCTGAACCCAATGAAGACTTCAAGAATGTTTTCAATTATGATGCAATGCTTCCGAGGAAAAATGAATTTTCAAAGATTGTAACACCTGGCATTTGGGATAGAAAGCAAGCTATATTATATTCAAACTTAAGTAAGGGAGTTGAAAATGAGTTCATTGGTCATACAAGAACTTCACCACTTCCTAACCCTAAATACTATAAATTAACTGGCTTCAATCGTGAGTTTTGGATAGACATGTTCTCCACTCATGACCATAACTGCCCAGTGTTCTTACCTCCAGACCATAAGGACTGTCTCTACATTGAAGCACAACTCTTAAACTCTACCATCGCAGTATTGTAAATGACCACATGGGCTTCGCCTTGCCGCTAGCGGCTTATTTTTATCCCGAATGACCTCATTGCTGACAAAAATAAATGACCTCATTATTTTTCTCATTCATGACCTCAGAACTTAAGCTTTCTTATGAATGAAGTCTTAGTCTGAATAGAAAAGTTAAACTTTTCAGCAAAGCAAGGACTAGAAGACTTACATAAGTCAAATCCAATCTCTTGACCATCATGAAGTGCTTTGTAAAGTTTCATTAAACTGAACTCAGAGTCTTTGTCATATGTTCCAACAGGTATGTGAATGTTCTTATCTTCATTGTAATAGCATTGTATAGCTTCAGGAAACATTTCATTAGCTGTTAAAGCAAGAACGTCTTGTTTTACACCTTTACAACGTGCATGGAATGCAACTTCATTTAAATCATTCGTGAGTAAGTCTATGTAAGTCTTCTTTCCACAAAATATTGACTTGTATGCTAAACTTTGTTTTCCAGGTGTTATTTCTGCGAAGTCAGAATGGAACTGACCTAATGTTTTACCAATAAGTTCTCTACCGTATCTCTTCTGAAATTCCTGAGCTAACAGTGGGATGTCTTCATTGAAAATATGCATGCTATCACAGTCCTGGTAAAATATTTGAAGTCCCATATCTTCTGCAGTACAGAATACTTCACACATTATTCTCTTCGACATTGACAGAATATTAACACCAAGTGGACAGAAGTTAAAGTGTCTGCAAATGCTTTTCGTTAGCTTGAAAATAGTTTTATCTGAACCATCCAAACCTTCGAACTTCACTATATGGTTGTAGTTTCTGATGGCATATCTTATAGCATCTTTGTCATCTACTATGGTTATTTTTGACTCAATAGGAGATAGAATAGTTTTGCCATAAATACTGTTCAGAATGAGCTTTATATTTTCTTGCAAAGGATTTCCTTCTTTCTTATACTTTAACCTTAACTCAAACAACTTCTTTACTTCATCTCTTATTCTAATATCTCTGTTTCCATCGTAATAGTATCCTTGCAACACTTCACATTTGACACCTTGATATTTTATGAGGTCTTGTAATGTTATATGGTCAACATACATGAGACAGCAAGTGTTTGAACTTCTGGGAACGTTAAGTTCTGGATTTAGTTCAGGGTCGCAAACTATTAAAGGAAAGTGTCTGGGTATACCAATCTCTGTTATCTTAATGAGAACAAAGAAGCCTGACATAAACTTTTCACCAATGGGTTCCTTTTGGTCGTCATCGAATAAATGCTTTAACAAATATTCAGAACTTAACATCTCATCCTTCATAACCTTTGGAATTCCTTCTAAAGTATAAAGTCTTGCTATAGCTGATGGATATAATGAAACAGCGTCGAAGTCAGCAATGAGTTTCTCTTTACTCTTTTGTTTAATGTTATCTGACAGCATACATCTTCCACCTTGAATACAGCGTGAAATAAATTCTCTTGGTTTATTTGAGAGGTCATATAAATTTCCATTCGGGAAGTACACTCTGTTCTCAAATAATTTGTTAGCAATTGAACAAATACTAACGTAGTCATAAACGTTTAAATCAAATTCTTTTAATATGTCATTGCGGAACTTAACAAAACCTTCTCTTAAAATTCTTACATCTTGTTTGCAATAAAATGAGCTATATTTTTCTAAATCGAAATGGTTTTCATCTATTCTGCAACCTTTGATGGAATCTATGTTTTTCATAAATGTATCTGCATCCTGGATAAACTTACATGCTTCAGAAATGACACCAGTTCTGTTGTCATTTGCTAACAAAGTACTGCTGTAGTAGTTATATGGAAATACTTCTTTCGGTCCTGTTTGTAAGTTAAACATAGCAGGAAATAGTTTAAGCTTCTTATTTATAACACTGTAAGAGTCTTTTATAATAATTGCCCGTCCTTTATATAAACCAGTTATTTGCATTGTTCGTGAACCTTTAATGATGGGAGTTCCTTTCACTTCTGTCATGTGTCTTAAGATGAAGTTTATATCATAGCTGAGGTTATGGAAATATATTAAACTCTTGTCAGGAAGTCGCTCCAAAAATTCTGTTGCACAGTTTTGACCCCATATGCTTTCACTCACTGAACCATCTTCACCGTCGTAACATATGTTAAAAGCTTTATGAACTCCATCAGTGCTACATTCAAAGTCAGCAAAGAAAACGTGCTCAGGAATGAACTTACATTTAGCTTTATTTACTTCTTTTGACTCTGCTTTCTTCTTCAGTTGTACACAATACTTTGGAGCATATGTCAAATCTTTAAATGGTGCAAGGTTCTGTTTATATAAGTCAGTCGTATATGTGAAAAGTTCTCCATAAGAAATAGGTTCGAAATATTTGCACTCCCACAATGTTTTCATAACATCCCATAGCGGTGTAGTTCTATCCATGCGAACTACATATTTATCTTCTCTCTTTGTATAAATCTTCATCAGTTTCTCAATGTTCATTCCACCACAAGCTTTGAGAATTTCTTTGTAATTTCTGACGAAATATGTTGTCATAGGTAATCTTTCGTTTAACATGTAGTTGTCTTCAACAAGAAGTAAGTCAATAGTTCTAACAGTTTCACATTCTTTTGGTATATATCTCTTTATTTCATTATGTCTTGAGTCATTGAAATAACCAATGGTAACATTAAATGCTATACCAGTTGCGTCAGAAATTTCTTGTACTTTACTTTGAGGAAAGTCTCTAACACGAATGACTTCTCTCATATGGTCAATAGTTTCTTCATTTACTCCAGCCTGAATGCAAGCATAAACGAAGCAGTTATCTTCTGTCATAAGTGTTGCAGTTCTTTTGTTCAGTTCATTGAAGATTTGGTAGCGTTCAAGATTTATAGGTAATGTGCAAAGATACTTCCAGAACTGACCGCTTCTCTTCTTATAAAACTTCTTTTCACCATTATCTTTCCAAAAGCTTTCTATAAGTGCTGGGTTTCCTGTTTGCTTAAGAGCTTCCAAAATGGCTTTCTGGTCATTTGTCAGTGTGCTTTCATCTCTATATGGTCTCTTTTTTGGTTTGCCTTTCTTTACATCTGACATCGTTAAGCCTTCATATTCTGTTAAATCATACATCTTTATTTCAGTAAGATTCTTTATGTTTGTCAAGAAGAAGTCATAGTGCATTTCAACAATACCTGCAGCATTTGCTTCTATCTCTGATATAAAGTTCTCCTTCAAGAGCTGATGTAGTAATGTTCCAATATTATTGAGGTTTAACGTAGAACATTCATACTTTCCACCAAGTTTATAACATACCATCCATCTTTGTTGGGAGTTTATTTTAATCTTCTCTAAGAGTCTCATGAAAACCTTACCGAAATGTTTGTGTAAGTAGTCTCTGTTTGGTTCATCTAAAGCTTCGATGTTAAAGTCAATGAGTCTATTGCCTGTCTTAACATTCCTCTTCCTATTCTCTTCATCTTTCTTTAACCATCTCTCACCTTTTTTGGTTTGTCGTCAATGGAACGAAGGACATCGTTAGCTTTGCGAACTTGTTCTATAGCGCTCTTAAACATCTCTCTTCTCTGTTGTTTCAGTGTGTCGTCTCTTCTTCTTGTTTCACCAACGTTTGCATTTGTTATGTCAAACATTTCTCTTCTTACTTCATGAGGTACTGAACGTCTATGATATAAGTCAATAGCAACGTCATTTAAAGGAAATGCTCTTGCATGGACTTCGTCCTCGCCGCGTTGCGGCTTTATGAACTCATGAATTCTATCATAACTTATTGCACCATTATAGTCATTGAGGATGTCAGCGAGTGCTTTTTTGTTTGTTGCGTAATGCTTTGCAACATCTATATTAGCTTCTGTAAGAAGTTGTTTTATTTCCGAGTGTTCTAACTTAGACAACTTCCGATACATCTTTAGTAGGAAATAAAATTTTTTTTTTTGAAAAAATTAGATTAGATTTTTTAAAGTTATTTTTCTAAATAATTTAATATTTTTATTTTAATGAAACACATGCAAGATTGCAAGTTCTTTTCATACATTGCTCTCGCTACTGCCATCAAGAATGAGTTCAATAATGCTTCAAATGTTAATGTTATCTTTAACAAGAAGTTTGTGAAAGAATCTAAGTTTGGTCAGTATGTCAGACCATTAGCTATCGTCATTGACCGCAAACGTTATACTTCACAAGAGTTAGCAGTAGTTTTGAAACAAAAGAGTTTCTTCGTGAATGTCAAAGATACTCATTATACTGTCATAAAGAACTCTAACGTTGACTTCTTCAGTATTGCTTTAAATCTTTCCGAACAGAAAGAATATAAGAAGGGTGAAACAAATGTGAAATATTATCCTTCATCTCTGAAGACAATAACGAACAAAGATGTTATACAGAAGTTCTTACCAAAGGTTGAAGAAGCTTCTATTGACATTGACGAAGAAAGTGAAATGGTTGAAGAAATTGACCCTGACGTCATTTAAGCAAAAATATATTTTTGGTTAGTCTTCATATCGATATTTTACAACAATTCCCCAATGTATAAACTTTTCATACGCTTTTTCATAAGCTTTATATACCTTCAGAAATTTTGCATAATCTTTAGAAGCATTTAGATATTGTTTAAATGCTTTGTATGTCTTCAGAAATTTTGCATAATCTTTTACATGTTGTTCGTTCTCTTCTTCTGTCATGAGTTCCGAATATTCTAAATTCATGTTCTTTCATATGAGATAAAATTTTATAAAAAATATAGCTTAGATTTTTTTTATTCTTCCTCTTTGAAGTTATCGAAATATTCTGTTATTTTTTCCTTCAGTAATGGTAAGTCTTCTTTGAAGGTAAGAATTGTACAACCTTTAATATCATAGTGTGTTTGAGGAAGAGTATTTTTGACAATTTCCTTTATTTGCTCATTCGGTGTCATTGAAATCGGTAAGTTTTCACGATAGAACCAGTTTCTATCAGATTTATATATCTTAGCTAAGTCATAAAAGCTCTTGTTGTTTCTTCTCACTAAATGCAACATAACCATATCTTTATCTTCTTCATTTTCCATCTCTTCAGTATATATCATATACTTATAACTCTTTTTCTTTCCTTTTGGTACCGAACGCGGTATTCTTTTCTGTATGCTTTTGTCTTTGGATTCAATGACTTCATCTTTTGCTTGAAGTTTCTTTCCATCTCTCACGTTCTGCTTTATATAGTTCATCTAACATCATGAAAATATAACAAGCATAACGAGGTGAAGCCCACATTGCTAGCATTTACTAAAAGTCTATGAACATAATATCCTTTCAAACCAGGAGCCAAATTCTTGCGATTTTCGTACGGAATCTCTTCTCTCGGTTTTCCGAGGGAAGCAATCATATGAGGAAATTCTTCTAAAGTTCTTTTGTCTGTTGTTTTCAAACCAATGATATGATTGCTTTGTAGACGAAGAGCATTCATTATACTTTGCATTTTGGTACATGTCATCTTTGACCGAACGAATGAGGCGAAGTTGTTTGTTATATTGTATGTATTCGTATTCTTCATTTATGGCTTCATGATGATAGCAGTTGTTGTGTTCTCTAATGTTGACATTTCTGTTCTTACATACAAAATAAAAAAATAAAAAAAATAAAACTAACTTTTTTTCTGACTTTCACAAAAGACCAAAAATAAACGCTTTACATGTATTTTTCAGCAACTTCGTCAAATAATTTTATAGCTTTATCTATCTCATCTACTTCAAACGTTTCTTTACCTTTCATGGGAGCACCATACATTTTCTCAAAAACTTCAAGCAGTTGTTTCAGAGCTCTCATATCATTAACAAACACAACTTGACTCTATTGACTGTACTGTCATATCTTTGAGTTATATTATATGTCCTTCCTATCTTATATCTTTTTGTGTTGAAGTCCTTCGGTTTCTGAACGATATAAAGTAAGCCTTCACTGCAACGTTCTGAGTCGAATGAACCATATGTTATGAAGTTATATCCAACAACTGGGTCTAACCATAACAAAACTATTGGTATAAGACTTTTGTCTATAAGATATGCTCTTGTTCCATGAAATGCTACTGATATCATAAGCTCAGGATTTCTTGTCAAAATTTTCTGAGTTGAAGCATTTCTAACCCAGTCGTTTGTTTTCTTTCCAGATGGAGATATAATGTCTGACAAAGAATATTTGTTGTATTTCTTTGAGTATCTTACGTTTAAATCACCTATTCTAACCACTTTGGTGTCATTGTCTATCTTTCTAACTGTTTCAAACTCAATGTTTGTCATTACTGTCTTTACATACAAAATAAAAATTTTTCTTAGAAAAAAATTAGCGTTATTTTTCTAACTAATGAAATTCATTATTTTTGTTCATGGGCTATGCCCGCCGCTTTGCGTATTTATGTTAAAATTTATGGTACCATTAATGATATCATGACTGTTCTCGTTCATGTCTGATTTACATCTAATGAAAAAGTTTAGAAGAATTTTCTTATTCTTTCTGGCATATTTTTGTCTTTCCAGAACTCCCGCTCTAATGGTCCCAGATGTGTTGGCTTCGACTCTCTCAAGTTCTTAGATGGTATAACATCTTCAACGCCTCCTTCATATCTTACTTTATAAGTGTCATCGTTTATGTTATAGCCAAGTATTTCAATAACCACTCCTCGCTTTGCTTCGTCAATGGTTTCAACAAGTTTGCCATTACTACTTTCGACTAATTTATGACGAGGGTAAAATGCTATGGAGTCGTCAGCAGCTTTTATAAGATATCCATTACCTTGCGTTGAATCTACTATATAATAATTTCGACTTAACCTTAAACGTTTCTTTGTCAACGGTTTGTCGTCAAGAACTACACGAACTTTTGTACCAGGAATGAGGGTAAATTGTGTTGAATTTCTGATATTTTGTGTTTGACTTCGTTTCTTTTGTATATACTTTTCTTCTTGTTGTTGTGTCATTGAATTTGGTGTATGTCCTGTTGTAGAATGTGTTGAGGAATTATATACTTCGAGAAAGTGTTTCATTGTTTCTTCGGTAAAGTCTCGCTCTTGATTTAAATCTCTGAGCGTTCTTATGAAGCGGTTATGATGCCGAGTATGTTATGGTTATGGTCTTCAGTAGTGTAGTGAGTTATGTTATGCTTAATGAGAAAATCTGTGATTTCATTGCTGAGGTATGCACTGTCTTGGTCTGATGTTAAAGTACTTGGGCTATGTTCTGCTACAAACTTTTGTAAAACTCTTAACACTTCACGAGTTCCTTTATTCCTCATTATATACGCAAAAGCTTTGCGAGTGTTAACATTAATGAAGATGAGGAATGGTTTATGTCCTCCTTTTCTGCTTTGAATGAGAGTGTCAAATTGGTATGCGTCAGGAGTGTTGGAGTAAATTGGTAAAAAGTAGTCGTAAGGGTTTATTTTTGTTTGATGTACAACATTTTTGTCAAAGAACTTTTTAACTTCAGCTCTGTTAGTAAATCCCCAACTTTTTGCTGCTTCATTGAACTTCTTAAATGACCTCCATGAATGTTGTTCGAATACTTCTTTCAAGCTCATTTATGTAAAGTTAAAGATTTCATTGAACACGGTACCATGCGAATACAGTCACAAATAGTGGCATATAATCTGCACCCGAGCCTGTTGGATTTGTTGTGAAAGTGTGTGAATGATTTCCTCCTGGTTCAGTTGGTCGAAAAATCTTTTTTGCTGAATTGTTATAAGATGGAGATAAAACGTCATTGCCAGCTTCATATTCTGAGTTGTATAATGGGTGGTCTCTTAATGAGTGGCTATGGTCGCCAGAAAAGTTTGTAGTTCCTGTATGAGTGTGCGGTGGAAGGTTTGCTTCTTTAATTTTCTTCGAGCCTCCTGTTTGCTTTGAATATCTAGCACAGTATAAGAATTTATCTACAATCTGCTTCCACGTACCAAAACCTAAAACACTTGCTGGATTTGTTGAGTTCATTGACGTATAAATAGAGCCTATAGGATATAATGTTTGAAGTATTTCAGTCTTTAATGTTTGAAGCTCTGTTTTGTCTGCTTTCTTATCTAACATTGCTGGTAGTTCATGTGCTTCAAAGTTTCTGGCATGACCTTCAATGTTCCTGCAACTGTTATCTAAACTGTTAAGCGTGTCTTTTACACTAGTGCTTGGATTCTCTAAAGGTGCACTTGAACCAAGGTCAAAGTTCAATATTATGTCGTCTGCTCTAACAGTAGTGAAGGATTTATGTGTATGGTTCTTGTCAGCTTTATTATCATATAAATCTTGAGCAGTGAATTTAACATTATTTTCATCGTCCATGACATAAACATTTTTACAGCTAATTTCTTTCTTCGTTGTTATGTTTTCATTCGATGTTAAACCTTGTGGAAAGTTAGGAGGTTTATAATATAAAGCAGCCGCGTGCGGCGGGGCTCCGCCCTCCCCACCAGTTCCTTCAACCGTTCCTTCAATACTTTCTATAGCAACAGTTGAGAAGGAGTTATGTGTATGGTTTTTGTTTGCTTTATTATCTAACATTGCTGGTAGTTCATGTGCTTCAAAGTTTCTGGCATGACCTTCAATGTTCCTGCAACTGTTATCTAAACTGTTAAGCGTGTCTTTTACACTAGTGCTTGGATTCTCTAAAGGTGCACTTGAACCAAGGTCAAAGTTCAATATTATGTCGTCTGCTCTAACAGTAGTGAAGGATTCATGTGTATGGTTTTTGTCTGCTTTACTGTCTAAAGAAGTTTGAAGTTCATTTATATCGGAGATATTGTGTTTATGAGATTTCAAAACTTTGTTCGTTGCGTCAAGTTCATCTTTGTCAGCTTTACTTTTAATAGCATCTTCAAAAGTTATTTTTGCCTTAACTCTCAAAGTAAATCTTGGTTCAACTAATACACCTTTAACAAAGAAGTATGAAGCATAAATTTCATTGTTATAACCAAATGCTTCTGGTGCTTTACCTGTGTCATACTGTACAGTACAGTGTATGTCATAACCTTTAGCACGAATGAATTTATATCTTCTTTCATTAACATCTTCAGTGCTTATTTGTTCATCCTGTGTTAAATATCCATGGTAGTCCGTTATAATCTGTTCGTCTGAACTTATATAATGAACATGGTTTTTATCTGCTTTTTCGGCTAATTTCTCTTCTATCTCATTTATTTCAAGTTCATGCCTACCACCACCCCCCGAAGAAGTATTTTTCTTCAGCTCTTGAAGAATGTCCACTTCGCCATCTTTGGTGTCAATAATGAGACTTTAAGTTAAAACCTTTCCTGTCTTAATTGATGTTTGTAAAACTTCTTCTTCACTATGTTCGGGGTCATGGTCGTCATCATATCTTGTGAAATCAGAGATGTTGTCATACATTAAGCATATCTGTCTCAAAAGTTCTGCTATTTGAAACTGGAACGAAAGATATACAGAACTTTCATCATCTCCTAAAGTCAAGTCTGCTTTCTTAAGTATTTCTTGAATGTATGCAATGAGAACAGAGTACCTTGGAAAATATTCGAACAATATTTCATTAGCTGTTGGTTTTGGTGGTTCTTCTGGAGTTTCTGCATCTCTTGACTTCAATGCTCTTGCTCTCAAAGACCTAAATGTTAGAGCACCAGGTTTTACAAAGGACTTTATAAATGCTTTAATAGTTCCTGGTAAGTTATTGTTAGCATTAAGTAAGTTCCTTATGCTTCCATCATGTACGTCCATAGCACTATGTAAAAAATCTATACTTTTCTTGTAGTCAGCAATAGACTGACTGTGATTTTTTAAAGATTTGTCAATACCTTTAAGCCAATCTTCATGCATGTCTGATACTGAGCCAAGAATATCATTTGCTTCCTTTAGAGTATTTTGTGCTTCTCGTAAAGTATCCAATCTCGTACGTGCATTGTTTGCTATACGTCTTACAGTATCTATTTGACTCCTTGTTTCTTGCATCCAACCAGATAAAGTTTTAATAGTATCCGAACCATTTGAAATGAAGTTCAAAGCATTTTTAACGTCATCTAAAACTTCTTCACCAAGTACTGCCCATATCTTTCCGATTTGGTATTGAAGAACTCCATATGAAGCAGCTGTTAAACCAGTATTTATAAGGTTCCATATCCATGATTTAGCAGTTTTTCCATCCTTTCCATCTTCACCATTCAAACCGTTTTCGCCTTGAGGTCCTTGTATTCCTTGTATTCCTTGTGGTCCTTGAGGTCCGGTGTCACCCTTCTCTCCTTTCAGTTCATCTTTATGTTCGTTATAATATTCTAATGTCATAAGGTGTACATCATTACTGCTACCAGCAACGCCGAGAATTTGTTTCTCATTCATGACTAAATTCTTTAGGCATTTAATGTTGTCGTCAAATCGAAAGCTCTTTAACAATTCAATGAGAACATTTAATACTTTCACTAATGAGGCATCTACTGTAGAATTTATATATTGCACCGTTCCATCATTTATGATGGGAACCTTGCTTGTTGTAATGAATGGGTCATAAGTGTTAAAAGTATCGAAATCAATGACTTTTTTAGTTTTTCCATCGTCAATGACTAAATCATTGCCTTCAATGGTTAAAGTTGAGTTTTCGTTTACTAGTTCATGTGCTCTTCTTGCTTCATTTGTTTCATACGCATATGCAGCAATAGTCATATTTTAATGAGAATAAAATGTTGTTCTATTTGCAAAGTACAGACCCAAACGAATACGGGACAGTAAAGATACAAACAAACTTAGGTCTTCAGAATGAAGCGCTTGCTTTCAGAGTTGTTGACTTCAATACTATCGCAACTTTTGTCATAACAGATGAAACAGATTTCATAGAGATTGAAATAGATGACAAAAGAAGTGTTATAACATTTCCTAATAGAGCTGGGTATAGAATAGATAAAATTGCTGGAGTGTTAAATGCTCTCATAAATGAAGAAACTATTGACAACATAGATGTCGAACTCTCTTCTGAGGGAACATTGAAGTTCAGCAGCGAGAAAGAGTTTAAGATACCAAGAATGAGTCATAGAGTACAACTTCTTTTGGGTGCATACCATATGACATTTCCTTTAAAAAGTGTTGACAAAACGATTGAGATGAAATCTGTTCCATACGTATGTTATGGTAATTGTTTGTACATTGAGTCAAAAATAGCTAATGTCACAGGTATTTCAGGAGTTAATAGTAAAGGTTCAGTAGAATATAAGTCTTTCTGTTATGCAGTCAATTCAATGTTCATTCCAAACGTTCCTGTCATAGCAACTCATTTAGGTAAATGGGTTCGCATTAGTCCTCATAATTTGAAAGACATGCAATTCAGACTTGTTGACTTTCAAGGAGAGCCTGTAGAACTGAAGGCACCAGTGCGAATGACTGTTGAAGTTGACTTTTTAGAAAATATTAAATGCAACAGCTTACAAGAGAACTCAGAGCTAAAAATATAAAGTATGAATGTTATATATTAGGTCATGAACTTTGGTTGTTGCTGTTTGATGAAACAAATGAGTTAGTTATGTCAGTCAAGAGAACAGAAAAATATTGTGTTAGTGAAAACTGCACCAAGTCAATAAGATTAGGTTTGCATTATGAAGATGAGTTCGATAGTGTTGAAGAAGTTTTGGACAGATATTACAAATTGCTAACTTGAAATTTTTTTGACTGACGGCGCAAAGCGCCAAGACCGAAGGTCCTGACTGCTTTAATTTACTAAAACATATTTCAAGCAAAGTTTATATTCTGTTGAAAGTTTTGTATACTCGTTCGAATATTTATACTTAAACTCAACTCCTGGAGTACCTGGTGTTTCAATGATGCGGATGTTACCTATTTTCATGAATATTGGCGTTTGACCACAGCATTCGATTTCAGGGTCGAGATAGTCAATGACACATTGTTTTCCTGTTATTCGTGATATAACATTTTCAAGGTCCTCCTTTGTTAGAATTATTTGGTTCTTACTTATAAGATTTGTCAAAAGCTTCTTATCGTCTTTGAGTAAAATTGTTTGGTATAACTGAACAAGGTAATGGTCTACGTTATCTGAAGGATTTGTTTGAACATTTGTGTAAGGGTTGTCGTTGGCTTCTCTTGAAAGAACTTGGTCCAGTGGTGGATACTCTAACTTAACATCTGATGTAGCGTTAGCGTTTGAAGCTGAGTTTAAATTCACCGACTTAAGTTCTGGTTCTTTTTCTTTCAAACACTCTGAACTATAGTTCTTTATGACAATATTGTTTGTCGTTCGTGAGTCAACATTTGATGTTGGTTCAATTGGAACATTAACGGCACCAGCTAAGATGGATTTGCTTCTCATTTCATATAGAATAAAAACCTTTTATATGTATGAAATGAACAATATACTCGACAAGGGTTTGAATGTAAAGCTAACGAATGAAAATATTGTTGAATTCACTGAGACAGGAGCTGTGTATAAAGATGTAGAACTACTGAACAAAAGAGCTAAGGGAAGAAGCAGGAACATGAACAAAGGGTGGAAGCCTATAAAAATTTATGTCAACGATGGCTCAGGAGGTTCAAACATAAAGTATGCAGAAAGTTATAGAGTTTATGCTCTCACGGGAGGGAAGCCTTCATTTAAGAACAGCTATTCTAACACATATCCTCAAAAGCTAACGGATGGAGAAGTGGATGATATGAATGACAGCAAAAATATTAACAGAAATGGCGACAGAGATGCATGGAATTTGTTTACCATCAGTCAATTGAAGGTTAAGCTTTAAAATAATGTTGGTCGTTCCCATGGAATATTTTTGACTTTAATGGTATTAGTCATGATATGAATCTCAAGGTATGAACGAGGAGAGATGAGAGACTTATATGCTTCCCAAATTTCTTCAAAAGGTAATGTTGTACCTGACTGTTTCCAAATGAGTTCAATATCATAACGTGAGAAACCTTGAAAGATAACGAAGTCAGTTATGAGACGCTTTATGTTTAAAGCTAAAAACCTCCATGTTTGCATAAGTATTGCTACAGTTAAGTGGTAATGTCTGACTTTAGTACTGATGTTAGCTAATGGTGAGTCTGGTTTTGAAACTAAACCTTTTCCGGCGAAGTCGTCGCAAACTAACAAAGTGTTTGATGGATATTTTTGAAGGGGTATTTTGAAAGTTTTGATAGAATGTAGTTTGTCAGTCGTTTCATATCGTAAACTCCTGAGTACTGACGTAAGTGGTGTTTGTCAATAATTCTTTCCATCCTCAGAAGTCTTTTGCATTCCTGACTGTATAAATTCAACGATGGCATAATATTTCCTCTTACGTCGAATGTAACGTTGAAGAAATTCAATGAGTTCACTGTCTGGAACTTTAACGACAGAGGCTTGAACTTTTGACATAAATGTTTTCGCTGTTGAGTCCATAGAGTCTGAAGTTGCTGATATAATGATTTGGTCATAATATGAGTCATTTCCTAAACGTTCTGTTATGAGTATATGACGAATTAAATTAAATGTCTTACCTGAACCCATCTTTCCACAATAGAAATACACACCATTTGAACAGAATTCATAATCTTTGCTG